GGGGCTTTACGGGTAAGTGAGTTGGTGAGTGGTAGTCGAGCTGGTGGGGGGGGCATTCATTTGGAGGATGTTGAGTTAAAGCATGATCGCGTTGTCAAAAACTGATGTTTTTGGTAAGGGTTGCATGGTTATTCTTTATTCGTAATACGGGTCGACAGTGCTTCCGCCTATTTACAAGCTCGTCCTAGGATTTTTTTTTTTTTTCTGATGCATGTTGATGGGTCATCTTTAGCAAAATGCCAGTTTTTCCAGGTTTTTTGCTTGGGCCTAGGCCGTTTGGGGTTGGATCCTTTACAGTTTGGAACACATTCTTTTAGGATTGGGGCTGCAACAGAAGCGGCACAGTTGAGCCTAGTGGATGAATTAGTAAAAAGGATTGGATGTTGGAAGTCTGTCAGGCACCGGTCATACGTGAGATTAGACCGTTTGATATAAGAAAAAAAAAATTACAATTTGGTTGTTCCTTGTTGGTAACATGTTTCCTTTCTTTAGTAAATTGGGTCGCCTAGTTGGTGGGCCACTCATTCGTTCATTTGGCGCACAAGAAAGCCGCATTTAGACATCACGGAGGACAACTGGGCTTTCCATGGCGCTTGGTCCAATTATTTTGGTTTGGCTATAGGGGTTTTGGGAAGTCTGTTCTGAGAATTTTTTGGTGTTTAGGTTCAGGGCAGTCACTGGACATGCAGGGGGTAACGATTTGGGTCGGGTGCCCCAAAGGGAACTAGTGCGCTGTATGAAGCGGGACATAGATAAGTTGAGGGCTATGGTGCCAGGGGTAGTTTCAATTTGGTCGGAGATGGGGCCCCCGGTTCCATTGGCATCATCCTAGGGATCTTGTGGCAGTGGCTAGGAGAAGGGGGCAAGTTAATAAGAGGTTGTCCATTTTCATTAGACGCATTGGGGATATTGTTGTGAGACATGTTGAATTGGAAGCCAGGCTTCCCAGTTATTTGCAGCATGATGGGGTGCACCTCTCCGACGTAGGTAACAATTTTCTTAATATGAGTTTTCAGGAAGGCTTGCAGTGGGTATTGTTTATGCAGGAGTGGGGCGCTCAGATAGCCTGAGGAGTCAAGCTCTGAGCTGTGGCAGGTGCTGGATAAGACATTGGGGGTTAGGTAGGTTTGGTAGCTGTGATGTTTGGAAGTTTGGTAATAATATTCACATGGTTGAATTTGTTAATTGGTAGGTTGGAGCCCTAGGTGGTTTTCAACCTGGGTATCTCAGTATACCCCTACAATGTTAAATCACTAGGAGTATAAGGTTTGTTGTGGCCATGTCTTGTGTTATGTTATTCATATCTTGTTATATGTATTATTGTTAGCTTATGTTATGGGTCATTGTCAGTGGGTATAGCACTGTTAAAAGTTGGGGTGAATTATGTGTCTATGTGAAAATTGGGAATGTTTGGCAATGATTCATATTGTTATTTATATATTTAATTATATATCTAATTTATTAAAGATGTGATGTTTTGTCCACTTTAAATTTTTTGATCCGTGTCTTTTTGGGGGGTTCAAAGGTTATGGTTTATGATAAATGCAAAAAAGGACGACTATGCGCATGTCAAGCAATAGCTGGTACAGTATACCAGTTCTGAGTTGGATCCCCTCCCTCCACACCTTTACAAATACCAAAACACATACACAATCAGTGGAGCTGTATGTACCTCCATCTGTTTCAATTATGTCACAATATCTTTAACAATAAATAGAGGGAAACAATAGATTTCCAACTATGTCAGAGACAGCTATTAACTGCAAATTATGTGAACTACAAGATCCACGATGCTCTGCTCAATGCTACTAGTCCTACTTCATTATTATTCTTCCAATACAAAAACATTTAGTTGTTGAAAGGCATGTAACCTTGAGTGAAGGGTTTTGTTTGTGTATGGTGGATATTTATGCATATAATAATGTTGTATATAAGGTATAGATCACATTACATGTAGTCTTCTGTTATACTCTAATAACTCAAATTACCTTTTGTTTTTATGCTTGCAAGCCTTTCGTGACATAGCAAGTACAGTAATACCTTAGTATACTAATGCAGAGCTAATTTCTCTAATATAACATTATATATTATTAATACCATTTTCTGTGTTTAGTTTGAATTTAGATTGTAACTTGTTCAAGGACAGGAGAAGTAACGTGCGTTACAATTACATATTCCGAGTATTGTATGCTTTGGCTTTCAATATCAATACATTTCCAATTTCAAATAATTGTTCCCACATTATTGTTTCTGTTTGTGCTGACTGCAAGGTGGGAGGTATTCATCAGAATTTTGCATCTGCATGAATGATTTATCTTTCCTCTAATGTGAACAGAATTAGCCTATTTCATTACTTCCTCTGTTAAAGCTTGACATAAGTGCAACAACCATTTGCTAAAGGGTAAGAGTAAAGAACACTTCACGCTGTGCACATTTGCATCTTTTAATAATAAAATAGTACTTGTTAGAAAATAAAAGGCTAGTTTGAAAGAACAATTGAGACTTTATATTTATTTTGGTACCATGTATATTTTTAGTTGTTTTTTTTTTAGGAAAACACAATTTATTAAATTAAAGGGGAACTGTCACTTATCTATAAATTATACTATTGAATAAAACATTGAAAATCACCCATAACTTGTGATAACATTTTTATAATAGAATTTCTTTTAAATGTATATCACGTCATTAAGGATCAATGAAAGTCCATGGCATCCTAACAATTTATTTTTGAAGTATCCTATTCAAAAATTGAAAGGTTGACTCAATTTATAACTGTATTGTGTAGCACTGTGGCATCCCTAAAGGGACACTCCGTGCTCCTAATGCACTTTAGCTAGCTGAAGAGTGTGTCCTCTTTTTTCAAAGAGTGCAGATTTCAATAGAAATATAAATTGACCTAATTACACCCCATTGCTTTCAAGAAGACAACAGGTCCTGTTACTTCCTGGATTGCTTAGTTCAATGGAACTAAATTAAAGATCCATAAATTGCTCAGAGCACCTGCCTTGCAAAGACTTCTGATTGATCTGCATTGGGAAGTCTGTAATTGGACAGCCACAGAAAGTCTGGGCGGGTTTAGAAGGGGAGGACTTGCAAATGCCGCAGATAAGAATCTGCAGATTTTGCAAGCCTTTTTTATATCTACCCCAATCACAAATGCATAATTAAATGCATACATGTTTTCATTTGGGGTATATGTGTTAAACAGTGATTTGTATTTATTTTGTATTTGGGCAGTATATTGACCCTTTACATTTTAATGATTTAGCAAATTACATCATAGTCTAATTCAGTCCAGGCACAACCAGGGCACACATTTAAAATTAGGAGGTGTAATCAAAACATTATTTATTTTCATCTCTTTTCTGTATGCTTTCTCTATGCTGACTATCAGAAGCAAAGGACAGCTTATAACAATGATTGACAGGAAGCTGAAATGGAGGTGCCCAACTGCAAGACAAAAATGTGTGAACTTCTACAATTAGTATATTATGTTTCACTTCATTACAAATTCTGGTAGGTAAAAGTTGATTTACAATGTATCTTTTGTTAATTTATTAAAACAACACTTGTTTTGTTTGTTTGTTTTATTTTTTGCACATTGTTTTATATATGCTCTGTTACAATAAAGTCTGTAATTATTTCTATATTACTCCAATATGTAGGTTAAGCATAGCTGTTAAATAAGATATAACATCTGGTAACAGGTCAGTGAAGTTCCTACCAAATGTTGATACTAATTAAATGAATTCCTCCAAAATTAACCAAACTGTATTTATTCTATACTCTAGCTTTATTTGATTACAATTGACAGATTGAATTAGTGTATCATTTACTATAAGTCATATTTTACAGTGTAAGTAAAAAATGCAACCAAATGGAAACCAGTGATTTCATCACCATTTTAGTAGACATTGTAAATAGTGAATGATGCTTGCCAAATTATCTTTTTTATTTTTCTCGTACATTATTTTGTAATTTCTTATTTGCCCAATTAAATAAAAAAAAAAAAGTTAGAAAGACATACAGACAGACTCTGTTGCATTGACATGTTGATTCCTTAAAAAAACAAAATTGTGTTGTAGAATCTAGACTTCTATTAGAAGTCACTGAAAACACACCTCTCTAGGAAAGCATCCCATCTTTCTGGGTGGGATTACTTTCAATTCACTGCCCTCATCATTTCCCACACCTCAACAGCCCAGGTCACTTTCTCTCCTGCCACTGTTTGGTTTTTCCACACACCACTTTTACTGGCTTATTTCAACAGGCATCGTATCCATCAATCTCTCCTCCCATCTGATATGCTGTTATTTCTCTTGTGTTTCACAAATTGTAAACTCGTTTAACCAGGGCCTTCTTCACCTCTTGCCTTTGTTATATTCCGTATGTAAATTACTTGTTGTCAAAAATCCCCATTTTATAATTGTAAAGCACAGCATATGTTGGTACTACATAAATTATAATAATGATAGTAATACCATTAAAAATAAAGTAAGATAGATACATAGACAGACAGACAACTGATTATCTGTACAAGGATTATGTAAATTAGAATTGTATAGTGCAAATATTAATTCTGTTTTTGTTTGTTTGTTTGTTTTTAATTCTACTTATTTGTAAGTGTATCTATTCCTTTCATGGATACCCATTTTGTACTTCATGTTATATGTAAAATATTCAAAATCTTCAAAAGCATCAAAATTATCTTAATATGCAGGTTTAAAAACATATTAAATAATAGAAGGTAATGGAAAAAATGCTTAACTTTGTTAGAAAACTTTTTTTTCAATGGTTTACAGCTGATAGTATGAACAAAATTGACTAGTATTTTCCCAGAGATTCACATAAGGGTAACTTTCTACCAAATTACTTACTTCCACCGTTCTTACAAAAAGCAACATGTATGTCAATTATGAAGGGATCAAAATGAAGGCAGCAGAGTTCTGCTAGTGGCACACGTTCATGGGAAATAGCTGACATTTAATGAATTGCTTCTGTGAACTGGCATTGAGACTTATAGTTCATTTGACTTCTGTTTTGTTATGACATGACAAATAATGTCTCCACTTTATGTCCGTGACCTAATCCTTGATTATGTAACATGTAAGCAGGATTGAATTTTGGGCCTTAGCCATGGTTCAGGGAAACTCTTAATTACATTTACAATACCATATAATTTCTCAGATTTTTTCCATTTGCAATTAGCATCACACTGTATGTTTCAAGTTTTCACCTTCTTTAACTTGTGTTGTACAGTGGATCATGAAAATTTTTACAGTTTTGTCTTTATTTTATATGTGTTTACTCTATAGTGTAACTCCATATAACTGCAGATATAAATATTAATTCATAACACATTTGTAATAGTATGCACAAGGAATGCTGCACTCATCTAAACATGCATTCATTATGAGGGAGCTGCTAATACAACATACAAAATCTAGCACACTCACTGAATAAACATCTTGCCAGGGATTTGGTAGGTAGAACCTAAAAAGCATTAGGTTGCTGGGGTAGCAACAAAAAGTCAATAGCAAACATATCCAGTAAGGGTTAATCCAAAAGGCATAACCAAACAGTACAAGGTTAAAAAGTCCAGGCAGCAAACAGTTAAAGGACCACTATAGTGCCAGGAACCCACTCAGGGACTCTCCTCCCTCTTCTTCCGTCATCGGCTGAATTCAGCCAGTCTCATAGGAAAGCATTATTAATTAGAAGACTCTGGTGTCTTCTCACTGTGAAAATCACAGTGAGAAGCGCGGAAGTGCCTCTAGCGGCTGTCAATGAGACAGCCACTAGAGGCTGGATTAACCCATAGGTAAACATAGCAGTTTCTCTGAAACTGCTATGTTTACTGCAAAAAAGGTTAAACCTAGCTGGACCTGGCACCGAGACCACTTCATTAAGCTGATGTGGTCTGGGTGCCTATAGTGGTCCTTTAACAAGTGAAGCCAAGTCAAAACTTTATTCTTGTTAAATAAATCATGACATGGTGTAATATGTCCTGTGTTGTTGTTTGTCTGAAGATTTATTTACCTGATTTTAAGGCCTGCTAAGGAACAGATGATTATTATTATGTCCTGATATACAACACCAAAGAATTCAAAAAGGGTGTATTTTCTTTTTCACATAATTATATATATATTTATATATTTGTAGTCAGGGACAATAAGCCGAGTTATAGTAGTGGTGGTGTAATTCGGTTGTGGTGTGCCGAAACCGATGTTTAGGTAGGCCTGTAAAAAGAGGGCAAAAGTTTAACAGTTTGATACTTTAATATGTGTTGACCTTATATAACTGTAACAGATCCCCTATACTCTGGCTAAGTAGTTCTTCCAAATCCCCAGTGAAACAGTGATTATTGCTCCCAATTCTCTATACATCAGCCTAGACTTGATGAAGGGTTGAAACTAATGTGTTTAATTCAGGCACAATGGCCCACTTTTATACAATACAGAGACACAGTAAACACGCCCATGACACTCCCATTAACACACCCATAAAATGTCCCCAAAATGCAATGTCTCCGTGACTCAGCAATAAATGACAAAATATGAAAAGCACACAAAATTACATATTTCCCTCTTAGTAACCCCCATGGTTTATACATCTCCAGATAGCCTGGATCTGAGTGCGCAACATAACCGAAAAGTGCTCAGATCCCACGAACACTGCCGAAACACCACCGGGGTAAAGTTCTAACTGGACGCACACTTGGTCCTATGCCCAAAACAGTTCCAGGGTGTTTTGTGCTTTTGCTACTTAGTTGCATTAGTTCATATGGTTCATACGAACAAACCTACCGAACAGCGCTCTCCTGACATGTGTGGGAAGGAAGCAGGCATTCATCAAAGTTCAGCAGTGTTCGGGAGTTTCCGTGTCTGACTTTGGTTCCATGTGATTAATTCCCAAACACTGCTGCCTGCATTCCTGCGAACAAGATAGACACAATTAGAACACACGATAATTGAAGTGTCAGGAGAGGTTACCACGGGTTAACAATTAAAATTATACTAAAATATGGTCCACATCTATACCCTTTACAGCCAGTTGATCTATCCCTAAGGAATTTAGGTGAATAAAAATGTAATGAATTGATAGAAAGTATGTTGCAATGTATGATTTTTGCCTAGCTAGTGTTTTGTTGAGATTGAGAAAAGCATATCATAGAGTAGAACATAAATACGCAATGGAAACGCTAGTGGGAATATGCCCATTATGATGTAAGTGCTAATTGAGATAAGGGTATACTGTACCTGTGTTGTGGTTAACGATTAAACAGCAAAAGGAAAAGTCGCTGTGATAACCCATGAGCTTTGAGGAAGGTGGTTGTTTTTACTCGAGTGAGGTAAAGCAAATACTTGTGTAGGCCTCACAAGGCCAAGACGGGCTTGTTGGAATTCAGGTAGTTTGTGTTGATGACCTTTGAACCGGAAGTAGATAATTCTGTACTGAACCAGAAAGTATGAGCCCAGAGGAAGGGGAGGCCAGTATATTTATAAGCCGGGTAACCCTTCCCACAATTTCAGCCATATATCTTGTATGGTGTGCAGGTCTATGTTTAACAGTGTATTTACTATCCACTGATTTTTAAGATTTTTAGTTGAAGGGTTTTCGATCACCTTTTTCCCCACCATAACTCTACTTGGTTTGTACTCCACAAGTAGTGCCAAGCCTCAATAGCTAGCCACTAGCCAATCTCATGCTACTAAGATGCAATAACAACTAAACAGCTGTCAATGAGTGGTTTCTAGAAAAAAAAATATGATCCCTTGTTTGTTTGATCAATTAATTAGGGAGCAGTGCATCCCCACAACTGACAACAGCCTTACAGTTGATGTATGCACAGTAATGCAATTGAGTGACCCCATCACCTCCTTTGAGAATCTTTTAGAGGATTCCAAACTTCATAATTCACAGCACACAACCTAAATAAATTAAACAACATAACTACTGGATATGGCATCATCTTTGTGTGTTAATCGAGTTTGTAAACAATACATGCCAATTAAAACAACAGTCAGATCATACATATATAAAAGTATTTACAGAACTGACATTCATGAACTGTTACTCCAAAGTAATTAAGCATTGACTAACCTCTGTTAACAGCAACAGAGCAGACAGGCCCTGACATTTTATTGCCTAAAAAAATGGATTTGCAAAATAATGATGTGCTAATATTTTTCAGAAGAAATATCTGTAATTTAACTTGCAATCCATTAATTCTGTCCCTGTGTTAATGGATTTAAAAGCATATGTTCTAAACAGATAAAAATACTGCCTTATGTTTTAAGAGAAAGTTAAAGGTCTTCCTAGCTTAATAGAGTCACCTAGTTTCATTTGCATTAAAAGGACTTCTCATTTAATTTACCAGTTCATAATGGGTACCTTTTTTCAGAACAGAGCTAAAGGCCACTATTACATGTAAGGAAAATTAAGATGATGTTCTTGGTTGCTTTACAGTTCTCCTAGTTCAACTACTCCAATAAATGAACATGTACAACAAGCCGGAGGGCTTTTTATTACAAATTTAATTCATTTCTCTAGACAACTGTGAAATTTGCCATTGACATTAGTCATTACCCCAAGGCGAACTTAAAGATGATCTCTGTTAATAAATGATCCTTAACAAGGAATGCGCCTATCTTCTGTGATCCTGGCACAAGCACATTTTATTAATGCAGTGCTAGCTTCCTGCCAAAATCCCTGCATTCACCAGCTATTTTTGTAGCTGTTTCCTCTTCCTGTTTTTGATATTAATAATTATACAACAACATCATTAGCGATACAAAGAGACTGTACCTTACACTTGCAGACAGATATTCAGCATGATATTCTTCTGGGATTTACAGAATGTATGCAAAACATCTAGTCAAATAACCAATGTAGCTTGATTTCACAGTGTGTAAAAGGATAATTGCTGTATATTTGAATAGGATGACCTTCAGAAACAATATCACATGGAGTCACGGTGGCTAACTTTGGCACGCCATTTCTTTCTGAACCACATTTCCCATGATGCTTAGCTATCCCAAAAGGCTGACTAATCATTGTAAGAAATGTAGTTCGTTGAAGTACTAAATTTAGCCAATACTGGAATATACTTGGGATGTATAAAAAAAAAAATTCAATATAATGCAGAGACAGGAAATCTCTTGCTTTTCTTCAAACAAAAAAGAAAAAAATAGATACTTGTAAAAAAAAAAAAAAAAATTACATGCAAAGTCATGCATAATTTCAATAATTTCATGCGCTAAAAAGGACAGATGCAGTGCAGATGTAATGCTGAAAATGGATTCATAAAACATGAAAACCCTTTCCTATGCATTTGACTATAAATGCTATGCTTTACAGACAGAAGTAGGTTAAGTATATTTTGTTTACAGAAGATAGGCTGCAATAAAAGCAAGAAATATTGCACCTTCCCACTTACTTTGTGTTATTCATTTCAGATATAAGGGATATTTATCCAGTAGCAGTAATAACAACGCAACATTTTTATTCTAAAAAAAAATAAAAAAAATTGTATTTTTAAAAAGCAGAGGCATTATGGAGTGTGTAAAAATGTAATATTCCCTTTTTCTCGTCAGACTTCCAATTTATTGAAGTAACAGAGCAGAAAATACACTGACAGCTGTTACATTTTATTGCGAATTAGTATATACATTTTATATCCAGTGAGCAAATGCATGATACATTGTATTCAAGTAATTGCCATTCACTTTCCAAATGGAAACGAAATGATCTTAGTGCAATTACACTCAGGAGAGTAAAATGTAACAAGCTGCAGTCTTACATCCTAGCACTTTAACAATGTGAAGAGTTTTTCTTAGATTTCTCTTTCTCTTTTAAAGGTCATATCGAAAAAGAAAATCCCTAACACCACATATTCATTCTGGCATGTTATATAATCCCACATAAATGCCTGCTTTTGTGTGTAATCTAAATCTATCTATCTACTATCCATCCATTCGTCCAACCATCCATATATCCATCCATCCATGCTTTCAGTTGTTTACATGTATTCATTAAATGTATGTTTATGTTGTGTAATATGAATATATGTCTATATGTATATGTAATCACTTTCGGCAGCAATCATATTAAATAGTTTAATAGTAAAGATACATTAAAACCTGGTCAGTTTCAAGATATGGGCCATTCAAAATCATCTTTTACACCCAAATTAAAGCTTAGTGCCAATTCAATTCACACGAGTTTATGCTACATTACTTCATAGGGAAGGGAGTAATACTCAATAGGCTAAATAATTATGATCTTATTTCAGTTTTAAATGTGAAACTCATTGTAAAAAACTTAGCAGTTTTTAGTGGATTTCTCATGCAGACTATCAGTTGCAATACATCCCAGAATGAATAGCCCAGAACCACATGATTAGAGCTCTGACTCCAACACTATAAAGACATTTCCCATTGTGATGGGGTTTATGTTTATAATACTGTTGACATTTGCATTATACCTGGATTTTATGCCATTGATTATAGTTGTCTAAGGAATTTCATCAACCATTACTAAGAAAACATAACACTTTATCAAAGGTGTTCAATATTAAAAAAAGCACACTGTGTGGATGTCCATTATCCCTATAGCTATTTGCTCTAATGCTAGAGTCATTTTTAATGTATTGAGAGCAAATTATGACATTAAGGGTTCTGAATCAAAGTCACATCACCATCAAGTAACTACATACACAGATAATCTTGTATTTCTTGTTCCATGATCACAGACATACACTGAGCAAAATGATAAACGCAAAAAAATAAAAACACTTTTGTTTTTGTTTTTTGTTTTTTAAGTTTTTATTTTCCAAAATTTGCAGACATAGATAAATGTACAGTACATGTGTATAGAGAAGCGTTAAGCGATTATTACCGAATTTTGTGCATTCATCATGACAGTGTAAATAGTATCATTGTGAGGTTATGCATTCTGTGCAAGAACTTGTCTGCGTTAACAAATAACAAACTCTATAGGATTTTGGTTCCTTTTCAATAAGCAGTCGTCAATAATACAAAAAAAAAGTATAACCGTTAAATAATAATTAAAAAGAAAAACATTAACAATAAGTTCACCCTGGCTGACCTTGGCATTAATAGTGTGTTAGTTGGGTTTTTGGTAAGTTTGGTGGGGTCGGTTGAGTTGTGGTAGTCCCGGGGGTATTGAGATCTAGTCTTGGTTCTAGCCGTTCATAGTCTGAGTGATTGTCTGTTAAGATATGGTTGTGATTGCTGTTGTAATATTTACCTTGAGATGTGGTTTAGTGTACAGCCAGTAGGTCTGTGCGTCTTGAGGGTCTGATCGTCAGCCAGGGAAACCGAACTTCAGGGGGTGGGAAGTAGGGGAAGGTAGAGAGGCACTGGTAGATTGGGGGGGAGGAGTGATGATTGAGCCTTTATTAGGTTAGTACAGTATTGTAGGTTCTCTAGGTACTAGCGGACATATTTGTGATGAAGATGAGCCAGGGGGACCAGCAAGTATAGTAGTTATCGTATGTATGTGTTAAGGATGAGTGGAGTTCTTCCATGAGTCTATTGCATTCTACTTTTTGTATCCATTCTCTGATGGTTGGTGGAGTGTTTTGTTTCCATTGTAATGGAATTAGCATGTTGGCCACTGTCAGTAAATGGGTACTTAGAATTCTTTGATGTTTGTGGAGTGTCATTGGGTAGATGTAGAACAACGTGACTTTGGGTGACATGGGGAGTTTGACTGTCAGTATCATATGGATGAGATTAATAATTTTCTCCCTGAATTTTTGTATGAGGTTGCAGGACCACCATATATGACTCGGTGTGCCTTCTTCTTGGAGACATCGCCAGCAGGTACTATTTGTGTGTGGGAAGAAGCGGTGCAGTTTGGAGGGTGTATAGTGCCATCTGGTTGTTCGTTTGTAGTTGTGTTCGTGTGTGGCATTGCTTATGTATGAATGGAATGCATTGGTAAAAATCTGTTTTCATTCCACTGGGGTGAGCGTAAGGTACAGTTCCTCTTCCCAACGCTTGAGGAAGGTGGGTTTAGTATTGTTGGTGTCCTCCTGCAAGATTTTGTGGAATGTGGAGAGTTGTTTTGTCTTTACAGAACCAGTTTCGCAGTATGTTTCAAATTTAGTGGTGTCTCTGTGTCCTTCCAGGAGGTTGGGGTTGGAGGAGATGAAGTGACTAAGTTGTCTCAGGTTAAAGCTGTGCAGTGCAGAAGGACGGGTGTTTGTGTCTGGGCTCTCCAATGGTCTGAGCCCTGTGGGGGTAAGGATGTCACCAACTTGAGGTAGTGGGAGTTGGTGGGTTGCAGGTTGGAGAAAGTGGCTGAGTGTCTTCCCGGTGGAAAAAGTGGATTACGTGTCACTGGGTAGAGTGGGGATGGGTGCGGAGAGATGTGTGGTGTTGCTTTTGTGTGTTTTCCATGTTTTTAGTGTGGATTCCACTGTTGGGTGAAGGCGATGACTTTGGGGTAAAAGAAGGATAACGTTGTCGTGCCATGGGATTGTATGTATGGGTTCAGTGAAGCACGTTGTTTCTAGTTGTACTCAATGTTTCGTGTTGTGTGGTTGTGACCATTCGTAGATTCTAGATAGTGTGATGGCTTTGTGGTAGGTTTCAATATCAGGGAGCCCCAGGCCGCCTTTCATTTTGGGCAGTCTTCTGTGAGGAGTCAGGGGTGTTTGTGTGCCCATATGAACTCTGAGAATATGCGTTTCACTGATGTAATGTCTGATGTAATGCCTGTAGAAGGTATAATAATTTGGGAAGGACATTCATTTTTAGACTGTGGATGCGAGTGAGCCATATAAAGATTGGTATATGCCATTTCTGTAAGTCTTCCATTATTGTTTTGAGCAGGGGGGGCCTGTTGTATGTTGGAAGGGATTGTGTGGTTGATTCTGGATGAGAGGTATCTCTCTATGTCTTCTTTGTTGGGTGGTGTTGAGCGAAGATTATATGGGTTAGAGTAGAAGTCATGAAACGTCTCTAGTATGTCGGGCACTTTATGTGATGTCTCTCCAGTTTTCGTTTTGATTTTTGATATAAATGTGGTTTGTCTAGTGTCTTGGAGCATTTTTGCCAATACATGGCCGCATTTGCCTCCTTTGGAGTAGTAGTTATATTTGGATAGTGAGAGCTTTCGTTTGATTTAGGCATTTAGTATTTGTTGGAGAGTTGACCGGTATTGTGTTAGTTGGATATATGCTTCTAGGGATCGTGTCGCCTTATGTGTCTCTTCAATGAGACAAATCGTTTGAGTAAGTGATCTGACTTGGGCCTCTCTTTCTTTTTTTTTGCTTAGAGGCTAGGGCTTTAAGGTGTCCTCTGGCAACTGCTTTGTGTGCTTTCCAGATAATAGGTTGTGCTGTGTCATGTATGTTGTTTTCCTTAAAGTAATGTTTGAGTGCGACATTTGGGATATGATGAGTGTGTTGTCTAATAGTGAGTTGTTTAGTTTCCATTGGAATGATTTTAGTGGGAGGGAAGGGATTGAAATGGTCACAGTCAGTGGTGCGTGGTCAGACCACGTGATTGGTCGGTATTGACATTGGGTGATAAGGTGGGGAAATCTGTGTGGGATAAAAAACATGTCGATTCTGGAATATGTGTTCATGGCCAGGGAGTAGTAGGAGTTGTCATAAAGCTTGGGTGAGTGATTCGCCAGCATTCACACAATTGTGTTTTGTCTTTGCCTAATAGGTGAGCTATCTGTTTACGGGCAGAGGCTTGGTAGGGTGTAGCACTGGATGTAGTGTCTAGTTGGGAGTCTAAGGATATGTTTATGTCTCCTCCCATAACCAGGATCCCCTCTTGAAACGTTTCAATGATCCTGAGAAACCGCCGGAGCGATCTGCTTTGGTTTTTGTTGGGTAAGTATAGGTTTGCGAGTGTTACGGTATTTTGGCCTATGGTGCCTTTAGCCATAACTAGTCTCCCTGAGTCATCTGAATAGTGTGCCTTGTGGGTGTACGACACTCTGGAAGATATGAGGATTGCCACTCCCCTCTTTTTTGCTATGGGGTAATTATTGAAAAATCCCATGGGGTATCTATTGTTCCTTAGTGGTGGAGCATGGTCTCATTTAAAATGGGTTTCCTGGAGGAATGCAATATCAGATTTTGATTTGTGTAATTCCTGTAGTACCAATGAATGCTTTTCGGGTGTATTTAATCCCCGAACGTTGTGAGTGACTATGCGTAACGTGGCCATTGTTTGTAAAGGCTCTTGCTCAATGTCTCCTTTTTTTGGGAGTTTGGGGGGTAGGTTGTGTTTGGGTTAACTATTTACAGGTAACTTTGGGGTAAGTGGGGTGTACAAGAGTATAATAGTAAGCTCGATGTTATCGAGTGTCCGTCTGTGATTTTCCCAGGTCACGGAAGCTCTGCCTCCTGGGAGTGAAAATGTCACCGCTCGTTGGGGGATGGGAGGTCGGGCACCACAGTATCAGTAACTGTCGCAGAGTTATCTGTATTGTGGAAAGGAGGGAGGGTTGCAGGTGTTTAGGTGGTAAGTCCCTTTGGGATACCTTTGCGGTGCCCGATTGAAACCTTCAGCAATCCATGTGTTATTTAGAAAACACACGAAAATCGGGGGAGAAGCGTGGGGTTGCGGTTACTTATAACACAGGGCACAATGGTGTCTTGGGACAGAGGCGGTTTTTTTTTGTTTTTTTTTGGGGGTGGTATTGTAGTCGGATGGGTATTGGATTAGCTGTGCTGGGTCCGAAGGCATATTGTTGCATATAATTTGAACAGTAGAAAAGTATTGCATATAAGAAGGCAGCAAAGAGTACAATTAGAATATGCCCCATTTGTGTTGGTGTAGGTGGCCAGCCTCCATCTCCCACACACCCTGGGCCCCCACCCCCACCCAATGCCCCCGCTGGAGGGGGTTTGTGGCTTTGACCTTCCTTGAGAGTTCTATAAATTGCCTTACCGGCTTTGAGTCTCGGGTTCTTAATATTTGATAGTAGCCGGTCTGGCTAAATGGCTGGGGGATTACGGATGAAGTGGGGAGGCACAGGGGTGGATGGTTTCACCCCAGCGAAGA